ACTTCTCCTCTTTCGTCTTTTTTTCTTCTTCCTCTTCTTCTTCTTCTTCTTCTTCTTCTTCAAGAGAAAAAAATTTATTTTGGCTTATGATTTCAGAGGATTCAGTCCATGGTTGGCTGGTTCCATGGTTGGGCAGGGCATTACAGCAGGAGGTGGGGTGAAAGCTGTTCTTGGCTTCATGGCAAGCAAAAGGCAGAGAAACAGCAGAAGAAGCCAAGTAGATACATAGCCTCAAGGCCACGTAGTGACCTACTTCCTCCAACTACACCCAGCTCCCTCCTTTTAACACCTTCCAATAATGTCATATTATGAATATATTAAGTGAAAACTCCATCGATTACATCAGCTCCTCAGGATCTGTTTCCAGAAAGCCATGGTATTTCATTAACCCCCTAAAGTATTTTTATTAACATTTTTTTCATATTTTTTGCTCTTGTTTTCCCTTCTCCCAACTCCTCCCAGATCCTCTCCACCTGCCTATACACCCAACTTTATATCTCCCTCCCCACTTAAAAAAAGAACCCAAAACACAACAAATGAAAACAAAAAAGCAAGAAACAAAAAGTCCTCAGGAAACCCACAAAAATGAAACAATCTAAAAACCAGTAAGACCAAAAAAAAAAAAAAAAAAAAAAAATCCACCAGCTAGGTGTGGTGGTACACACCTTTAGTCCCAGCGCTCAGGGAGGCAGTGGCAGTTAGATTTTTCTGAGTTGGAGGCCAGCCTAATCTAAAAGGGAGTCCAAGGCAAGCCAAGACTACACAGAGAAACCCCGTCTTGGAAACAAACTAACAAAGCAACAACAAAACAAAATCTACAAAAATACCACTGAGTTCATTTTGTGTTGGCCACCAACTCTTAGGCAGAGGTCTGCCCTGGAGTGTGGTTCACATACCCAGAGTCGCCTAATATCTTACAGCTTAGGCACTGAATTTCTACTGAGGCTCAACAGCATGTCAAGAGATGCTATCCAAAGGGTAGCTTTCTTTGCTGAAGGCACAGTCTCACTCCAAAATCACAGATGTTTAGATTCCATACAGACACCTCTATTGCCATATTTTTCAGGCCACATGTCCTACTCCCTCCCCTTGGAACCTATCACAAAAACTTTTAATTCCTAAGTGCAGACTACACTGTCTCCAAAACTGAAGGCTTACTATAACTGGCCTTTCACTTTAGAGGAAGGAGCATGTTCCGGCATGTTTCAGATAACATCTCCTAAGTGTCACCATGTGGCAGGTTCTGAAACTTTGCAGGATGTAGCTCCCCATCCTGTCTTACCAAAACTGGGAGAGTAGCTGCACTGCCATCATTTGACTAACATAGCCTTAAGACCTAATTAGCATGATCTTACTGAGGCAAACAAGTATGATCATCTACAGAATATCTAGGTCTCTGGACATTCTGGATTATACTATAGCCTAGAGTAATAATGTGTATGTTCAAGGTTAAGACTGTAAATATAGACTGTCACCTATCCTTTACGAACAGAAAGTACTTCTGACATTTTCTGATGGGAACTGAGAGAGCATACACACTAAATTGGGGTTTTGTGAATTTTAGTTACTAAATATTTTAGGCTTTGCAAGCCTATCATGACTTTACTTGGCCAAGGTAGCACAAAAGCATTCAGACAGTGTGTAAATAATCAAGGATGCCAATAAGTCTTGACAAAATGCAGGCAATTGGGTCCATGATGGCTTTATTAGACACGGGCTAATAAAGGTGGAAGTAGAGAACTGACTTCACAAACTCGTCCTCTGACTTCCACATGTTCACAGACTCACCCCCATCAAACACACATACACACAATCACCCCACACAAAACAGTTTTAAAAACTGGGTAACTGACCACGTTTGGCTTAAAGGATGTAATTTGCTGACCCCTATGCACCTGTCACATAACCTATGCCAGATGTTGTGCTATCCTTTTCAATAAAGAAAACATCTGACATAGCAATGCTTTGGGGATTACTACTTGCTCTGGCTTGCAAGCTGTTTACTGTAATCCACCAGTTTTTGCAAAAGCCAGAGATTAGACTAAATGAGGATATGATGTACCCTTTAAGTGTGAACTAATCCTTGCTATTTCCCTCACAATATAAGCATTATTATTATTATTTTGACAGAGGTGGCGGGGGTGTAGTTCCAGGAGTTTCTACTTGGTCTTTCTGCCAAATGCTGGGCAACTTCATTGGCAGGTCACACAAGAGATATACATTTGGATAGTGGGGAAGTGATCAGAAGATGGAATCTGTAGATCCACTGTAGGGCAGACTGGTGCAGCATTCCACTTACTACGCATCCCAGATTTCCCTAAATGGGGGATGTGTGAAGAGGAGCCACTGTTGTGGTGAAGGACATCAGATGCCCTGGAACTGGAATTATATACAGTTGTGAGCCACCATGTGCATACTTGGACCCACATTCCGGTCTTTTGCAAGAGTAGCAAGTACACTTAACCTCTCCATCACCATGATGGCTTATCTTTGATGTTCATTTCTTGGATCTGGAATCAACCAAGAGACACACTTGTGGGCAGGTCTGTGAGGGAGGGCAATTCTGTGAAGGACTGAGAGGGAAGGCCCTCCCCCAGAATGGGAAGCACTTTCCAGCACTAGTGGTATTGCCTGCCTGTTTTGATTCTTACAGGTCTATCCATCATTGTTGCTGCCATGAGAACCCAGCTCCCAACATGCACTGAAAACCAGGGCTCTCCATAAATCTCCTAAGTAGGTCTTTAGCACCAGATTGGGACTACTGAGGTGGTCCCAGGTAGATTCCTCACCTGAACAAGCTCCCTAGTTCTCACCCTTTCCATCAGGCTAAAACCACCACTGAACTACTTATCCCATGTCATGTAAAGCCATCTGATAAATCTGGCTGCTCTAGAAAACCCTCTCACTGGATTCCAACTCCTTTGGATGTCCTTCCCTGAGTGTGCAGGTAACTCAATGGATCTGTCGGGTGATAGTCTTTAAGCCTAAGAACAGTTTGTGACTTAGATGCGCACCAAAACTTACAACTTTTCTTTGACCTCAATTTTGATGGTCCTATTTATAAATCTTGGCTGCCTGTCTGTCCTGCTCCTGAGACCACCTGTGTTATATTAGCCAATCTCCACCCAAGCTGTTACCCTGTAGAAAAGCTGCCGCTCTGCTTCTAGCAGTTATGTGCTGCCTTGGCTTTCCAGAGGGATATGGTCAGTGAGCTCTTCAGTTACACAGCAAAGCCTGCGTGTCTCCTTCCTGAATCCTTTTTGTACATTTTGTATTATTTGCCATGTCTACTATTGTGGGACAAGGCTGGAGGGAGGCTCAGTAATTAAGAGCTATCTGCTCTTTCAGAGAACCAGAGTTCAGTTCCCAGCATCTACAGCTTGAGGTTCACAACCACCCGTAACTCCAGCCCAGGGAATCAGATGCCCAGCACACACATATACACACTCACATAAAGAATAATAATAAACCTTAGAAAAATTTAATGTAAGGTGCCTAAATTTTTTTTCTGATGTGGGCCATTTTTCCCAAGCTTCATAAAGCCATCCCAATGGCCTGGTTATAGCCTATGAAGCTTTAAGAGGATGTTCTGGGGTCATAGAAAAATGGCATTGTACATCTTCTATGAATTTCCTGTTTCATGAAGCCATCTATGCAGTCACAACTTTGTTAGCTGAACACACAGAATTTTGGAAGGGTAGCACTTGTAAACTTTGACAACAGCTTAAATACTGCACTAAACTTAAGCTATAATATGGTTATTTTTAGTTATCAAGAAAGAGAAGAAAAGAGCCAGGCTTAGTGGTGCATGCCTGTAATCCCAGCACTCAGGGAGTTCGAGGCCAGCCTGGTTTACAAAGAGAGTTTAGGGCAGCCAAGACTACACAAAAACTCTATCTCAAAAAAAAAAAAAAAAAAAAAAACAAAAAAAAAAAAAAAAAAAAAAAAAAAAAAAAGGAAGCCAAGTGCTAGATAACCATATAGTAACACCTTGTTTTCCTTTCTTTGCTGAAGACCAAGTTCTCCACAGGTGGTACGTGGGAGAGGACTTCAAGTACTGAAGTATACATTGGCTTAGGACCTGTGAAGAGACTAAGAAAAGCCCAGAACAGTATTATTCCTATGAAGGTTTTGTTTTAATCACTGTATCAACTTGTGACATTAGGAATCAGAAATACAGTGTCTAAACACGTTAGTGTTTGATATTGCTGTGAAATTCAGTTAAGCCCACACCTCTAGACAGTTTAGGTATTTTCAAATTTGCATGACAGGTTGTATATAGTCTCAACTGCATACCTGTCATGAGCAGTAAATAGATCCACATACTGATGCTTGAGGTTCTAGATGTTTAAAGACTCTGATGCTTTAACCACACATAATTTGAGGAGGACCCTGCGAGTGCACCAGTTTTTTGTTTGTTTGTTTTTAAATTTTTATTTTATGTGCATTAGTTTGAGGGTGTCAGATCCCTTGGAATTGGTGTTACAGACAGCTGCCATGTGGGTGCTGGGAATTGAACTCAGGTCCCCTGGAAGAGTAGACAGTGCTCTTAACCACTGAGCCATTTCTCCAGCCCGAGGGTACCAGATTTTATTCAGCTATAAGTCCCAGAGAATTTCAAATGGGATTTAGAAAGAGATCAATCAAAGGTTGACTTGTTCTTGTTCAAGCAAAATAAAAATGAAAAAGTCTTGAAAATCAAGCCATGGTAGATCGTGGCATCATCACCAAAAATGAGAATAAAGGACAGCTAGCCTGCACTGAGCACAATTCCAAGGGCAGGTCATTCTGTCTCACCTGTCCTTGGCAAGCTTTTGCCAGGAGCATCAATAAAATATTGGCAATTTAGATCCCATTCATCATCACAGATCAGCTTGTACTTCCCTTTCTCTGAGCATGAAGGAATCTCAAATTCAGAGCGTTTTCTGTTCGATGAGCTGCGATAGCTGTATAGTCCCCACAGCCTGAGATCTCAAGCACATTTCTTTCCAGAGAATGTGTAGCATTTTATTTATTTATTTATTTTTGTGTAGCATCTTTAAGGGTGAGTTTAACCAGGGGGAAATGATGTGTTTATGAGCTTGACGACTCAAATGATAAATGTGGATTTGTTTTTGAAAAAGTTATTTCCGGAGAAGGGGGGGTTATGATCAGAATACATTCTATACATGTATAAAATTCCAAAATAAACATACTTTTAAAAAGTTATTTTCCAAATGAACCAGGACAGGTAGGTGGGCCAAAGAGAATATCTATAAAATATATATGGCAGCCATGGATGGTCCTTAGACCCACTGAGAAGAAGATCAATTCAAAGTTAGGTAATTTAGAAAACATGTTAACAATATATCACTAACATTAATTATAATATAAAAAGTTAAAACTGAAATACCAGGGAGATGAAGACAGTATCATTTTGCCAAAGAAGTGCAGCCTGAGCTGGAGGGCTGGGTCATGGTAGTCTAACATAACATTATACAAAACTATACTCTGCAGCTTACAGAAGATAAGAAAGATTAGAAACAGACCTGGATGAAAAATAACCCACATACTTGCTCAGAATATTTATTATTATTGCCCCATGGGGCTTGCAGGAAAAAAGACTCAGGCTACACCCCTTTCCCAAGCACCTTCCTGAACCAAGGATTCAATAGGGAAATCTGATGTCTCAAATAAGCCAGAATTTATGTGGGTAAAATGGCCACTCATTTACAGTTCTGACTTTACAATCACGTGTTGGCCAGGGAAGAAGGGAAGGGTCTAGTGAGCATGGTACAGGCACTAGATGAAAGGAAACGAGATTGGCCTTCATCTATCACAGCATTGTTAAAAGGGGCTGGAATAAATAAGAATCTAAAAAAAAAGAGGAGGTAAGGGGATAGTCAGGGGGCAAAGGAAGGTCAAGAGCGGGGTTCCCCCAAATCACAGCTGTAGGAAGAGCCAGGGTAGCAACTAAGTTCTTAGGAGAAAAGGGGAACTAGGGGCAGCACCTAGGTACAGGAGAAGCCCAAGGCTTCGCTTCCAACCTGACAACGAGTAAGTGCAAATTCCTTTCCCTTCAGAGAATTCAAAATGAAGTCAAGGAGATGTGGTGACAAGCCTGCAGCCCCAGGCTGCATTTCTCCTCATTCCCAGAGGCCCTGCCTAACAGAAACACAGAGTCCGAAGACTCAGCTCCTGCTCCCCAGATCCAAGAGAGGGAGTATAAACAAGGCACAGAGACACTGGGAATAAAGGGGAACATGAGTACAGTCATATATAACATTATTTGGGGGAGCAGGAAGAAGTAAAATGCCCCAAAAGGGATGCCTTCCTTCACCTGGCAAATAATTGGCCTGTTTCTAACAGCAGAAACCATAATGGAGTAGGACTCATGGAAACGGCCTACAGAACAGGTCCTCAGCCGGTATGGCACAGTCTTGAATGGGATGTAGAGTGTGGGGCAGCCAGCTCCCAGAGACGATGCTCTTGCCTCAGTTTCCCAGTGATCTGCTGACTCCAGATGTTCCCCATGGCTGGGACTCAGGGAGGAAAATATGTTGTGTTTCACATGATCAGACATTGTTCGCCATTGGCACCTGGTGGGCCCGATAGATTGAGGGTATCCAGGTCAAAGTTGAGGCCAGGAGGCTGGAGAAAAGATGAAGGCACTGAGAAAACCACTCATATTTCAGGTCAGAGCTTCTGAAGGTTCATCCCCTAGCAGCCACAATGATCACCTTATACGGATTAACTAAGAATTACTGCGAACTAGGAACTGGGTTAAAATATAGAAGACAAACTCACCATCTCCCCAGCTAGCTCTTTTGGAGGATGGCCCAAGTCTTGTAACTAGAAAATAAAAATATGAGATTAAAAACAAACAAACAAGATAAAAATCACAGAAAACAACACAAAAGCATTAAAAGGGATCTGATTTCCTCTGACCACAGTATGTAGTCTTTCTTGGGCTCCCTCCTCCACCCAGGTTTAGTAGTGTAGCACCCTTTCCAGGCATCTCCATTTAACAGCCAAGAGAACAGCAACAGTGGGAAGGCAGTGAAAGGAGGCCTTACCTGCTGCATAAGATCTAGCACCGCCTCAAAACGGGCCCTGTGAGTAGCCTCACTGTCTGTGGGTGTCTCTGCCTCAAACTGCTCACAGATTTTGCCCATGACACTGTGCTGCTCCTGATACTTTTCAAATTGCTCTGGAGGAATAGACTCCTGGTGACTCTGTAACCATTCTGGATACTGCAGAAAGAGGAGGGATAGGTGAGAAAGAATGAAGGGAACCAGGAGGGAAAAGCACGAAGTACTGTTGACTCCAACTGATCCTCCAGATGCACTGGTACTTATGGTTAGCTGCAGAGAGCAAACTCTGTCGGTGAAAAGCAACAAAGTAAATATTCTAGCCTCTGAGGGTTATTCTAGTTTCATTCCTGTTGCTGTGATAAAACATCAAACACAACTTGTGGAGGAAAGGGTTTATTTCATCTGACACTTACAGACAACAGCCCATCACTATGAGCAGAAATTCAAGCAAACACCATGGAGGAGCACTGCATGCTGGCTTACTTTCTTGCTTGTCTTTTAAACTTCTTATAAACTTCCCCGCCTAGGGTTGGTGCTACCCACCATGGGCTATGCCCTCCCACACCAACAATCAAACAGGACAATCCCTCACACATGGCCATAGCCCAATCTGAGCTGGGCAATTCTAACTGAGACTACCTCAGATGACTCTGAGCTGTGTAAAGTTGACAGCTGCAGCTAACTAGGACAAGGGTCACGTATGGTCTCTGTTGTTTTTTTAAAGATTTATTTTTATTTTGCATGCATTCGTGTTTTGCCTGCATGTATGTGTTTGTGCCATGTGCATACCTGGTGCACCTGGAGGTCAGAGAGGTGTGTCAGATCCCCCAGAACTGGAGTTATGAATGGTTATGAGCCACCATGTTGGTGCTGGGAACCAAACCCAGGTCCTCTGCAAGAAGAGCTAACAAGCTCCCTGTGTTGCTGTTATTTAGAACTGTTACAAATTCTATTATTTTATTTGTATATCTGTGCACCATGCGTGTGTCTGGTGCTCTCAGAAACTGAAAGAGGGCATCAAATCCCCTGAAACTTCAGCCACAGGCATTGTGAGCTGCTATGTGGATGCTGGCAATTGAACCCAGGTCCTCTGGAAGGGCAGCCAGTGTGCTTAAATGCTGAACCATCTCTCTCTAGCCCTGTTGTTTTTAAACTTAAAAATATAAAAACCAGGGCTGGGGAGATGGCTCAGTGGTTAAGAGCACAAACTGTTCTTACAGAGGACCCGAGTTCAAGTTCAATTCCCAGCCCCTGTGCCAGGCGGTTCACTTGCCAGCTGTAACTCCAGGTCAGGGTGGTCTGGTGCCTCCATAGGCACCTGAACTCGTGTGCATGCGCACACACACACATACCTAATTTAAAAATAGTAATAAAAATAAATCTTTTTAAAACAGTGTAAAAAATATTCTTAGCTTGGGAGTTGGACAGAAGATATACAAACACTGGTCTGCAGACTCCTGATCTTGCTATTCGTTTCCCACTCGGTCACACATTGTCCTGTAATGCCGAAGTGCTTCTATTTCTCTAGTGGAACTATAAGCTCTTTTGAGCAGGGACCGTCATTTAAACTACTTTCAAACTGGACATAACACCACTACAAAATCCAGTGAGTTCTTACTGGAAAAATTAATAAAGCTAGAAATACAAGGAGGAATGGATCAGTCAAACTCAGACTCAGGAACTAATTTACAGAAATCTAGCGCTGAAGAATTTCCCCATCTTGCCCAGACATTCCCAGTGTGGACAAGCGATCAGATGACCTGTGCAGCTTCATTCTCTCAGGAAAAACTTCTACCTCCTACAGACAAGGAGTTGTAAAAAATGTGCTTGCCCACTTAAAACTACCCTTTTACTATGAGTTGTCTGAGCAAAGTGGCCCCCAAGTTGAAGCAATGAAGTGAGAAGAAAGGCAGAAATGGGAATTCACAGACCTTTTCTGTGATCTCCTTCAGGGATGGGTACAGTACGTCCTTAGACAGTAGGTTCTGCATGATGCTCTGCATGATGGGAAGAATGTTCCCTTCCCCATCACCCTCATCCATGCCCAGCCCTTCCATGGCTTTGGTCAGTTCCTCTTCAGACATGCCCGAGTTCTAGACAAGACAAAAGAGAGGCGAACAGGTACACTGCTTTCCTGGAATGCTCACCACACTTTCAGGTGGAAAGAACTATCTAAATTTGCCTGTAACATAAATCAAGGCAGGGACAGATTTGGAGAGATATTCTAGAGCATCTATTTTGTGAGACTGCTCAGGAAGCATCAGAGAACGTACCCCTATTCCTTTCCCTTTACCTGAAGGTCAGTGGCATTTTTGGCTAGCCCACTTAATGTCTCCTTTAGGCAAGAAGTAAATTCTTGTTGAGAGTTTGCATCACTGCCTAGGAGAAATGAAAAGAACCAGGATTACCTAGGATTTTAGCTGTCAGCTTGTCTAGACTGATCTAGACACCAGCCTGTATATAAAGCATTTACTAGCAAACTACTGCCCCTTCAAAAACCTTAACTGTTCTTTAGTTACTTTCAAGGTCATGCCATGAATCTATATAAGTAATATGCCAGTTGTTCTCCACAGTAAGACTCACAACACTGTCCTTTAAAAGGGTTGGTTTGGGATAATCTTCTTTATTTATTTTTGAGGCAGGGTCTCTAGTTCGAGCTGTCCTGGAACTCACTATGTAGACAAGGCTGGCCTTGAACTCACGAGATCCATCTGCCTTTGCCTCCCACGTGCTGAGACTGAGCGAATACACCACTACACCTGGGTCGAATAATCTTTTTTATTACGTTCCAAAACACCTTAAGCTTTTCTTTCAGAAGCAAGGTTCTTATACCTCTTTCTCTTGCCTGCCCCGCTCCATGGCTGTGACATCATGACTTATCAATTTTACAATCCTAGTATTAACAAGCAATTAAGAGGTCTGTCCAGTACTTCCTGTTTGGGGTTTCCTCACCCACTCTCCCAGCGGCCTCTGAGAGCTTCTGGAACTGTTCCACCAGGTGCGGCTCTTCTTCAGCCAGCTCCTTCATTGCCTTCTCAAACTCTGCAGTAGCTTGGGAAGCCAGCTCACTGTCGAACAGTTCCTGGAAAAATTTCTCTTGGGAGGCGAAGAGAGCATCCTGCAGGGGAGGGGAGGACAAAATTCACCTCTTCAGCACCACACTGCGTCTAGCCTCTAATAAGAGCTCAAGTGGTAGTTTTGGGAAATGAAACATCTCCCCCACAAGCACCTCCACTGAACAATTCTACCTGCCTATTCTCAGGAGGGCAGCAAGCAAAGAATCTGGCCACTGAAGGAATAATATGAGGTAGCATACAAATCCAAGCACTTCATACTGCTCTTTTCTCAAGACACTTTCTTGCTATCCCTCTGTACAACAACAGGTTCTTTTTTACAGGAACTGAGGCCTGGAAGAACACTGAGCAGTGTGAGGCAAAGGCACCCACCCTCCCACCCACCCCTCTGGCCCATAGGGGCCTGGCCCCACCCCTGCTCTGAGCTGCACCCCCATCCTCCCTCTCCCTTAAGGGGGTGGAATTTATACTTTGGCAGTGTCTCCTGGCGATCTCTTCTGGGGCCCTGAAGCATCGGGGGCCGAAGTGGTAGGAGGGGGTGCTGGGGAGGGTTTGGCTTTATCGAAATCATCAAGAGCACCTTCGGAGACAAGAGACATTGTGGGTATGTTGAGGACGGATAAGGCTAGAAAGCTGTGTGATTCTAAGCAAACTGTTCCTGGACTTCTCTCTCTCTTCTTGGCATCTCTCCTGCCTGGTCCACTGATCACTGATCAACAGGCTTCCCACCTTCCTTGGAATTATGCAATTTACTGTAAGCAACGGGGAAGAAAGCCTTTTATACAGAACCAGTGTTCATCTCAGAACTAGGAGGAAAGGATTAAATAAGCTGTGCAGAGAAATCTCTACATGCATACTAGAAAATTCCAAAAAAAAAAAAAAAAAAGCCACACAATTATCTAACATGAATAGAGAAGAGAGATAGCCTTATCACTTTTCACTTTGAACTCACTCTGAGGCCTTAAGGGCCATAACATCTTTTAAGAAAACACAAGATACACTGCCCAACTTTGCATGGGTCCTTACTACTGGTACAAACCACACACATTCTACAGGAGGGTACCAAACTCTTAAATTACCCTCCAGTTTGTTTTCCCTCAGCAGACGCCTACAGCTCTGCTTGGCCTTAAACACAGTACTCCTGGACCAATCCAGTCAATCAGCACGCCCCACTAAATCTGTTAATTTTCTCCCCGCCTACATCCTTGTGACTGAGCAGCAGATAAAAGGTTCACCTCTGCCCTCAAAAGCCTGTGTTGTCACCACCACTCAGCTTGCCAGGCCGAAGGAAAGGGCACTGCCCTCACTCTGGGCAGGAAACCAGAATGGAGGGCAAGGCCAAGAAAGAATCCACCATGTTTTCAGGAAGATGAAATGTTTTTCCCTGGGACTGGCTCACTCTCAGTTTCTCCCAAAGATTAAAAAGGATGTCAGGCTTGGTGGTGCCACACTGGAATGGAGAGGCAGGGGCCAGAAAATCACAAGTTCAAGGCCATCCTGCAGTACTTATTGAGTTTGAGGCCAACGTAGCCTACACGAGAGTCTTTCAAAAACAATTTTAAAAGGTGTCTCCTTGAACTACTGACACGAAAGAACTTAGGGTCTGGTAAAAGAATGAGGAAAGATTATGAGATTTTTAAAAAAATGCCTTTCGGGTTAAGAATGATCCTATCTCAGACATAGGATCCTTGGAGCTTAAAGGTTATTTTGTTCCACGAATGCTGGTACTGACAGCACAGATGATTTCAATAATTTACTAACGCCGATCCAGCCCGTAATCTCAGCACTCGCAGAAGCTGAGGTAGAAAGCTGTTTGAGTTCTTGGCCAGCCTAGGGGTAAAATCCTTGCCTCAGCAATAACCCAACAATCTAAAGCTAGAGAAGTTGCGGGGCGGGGTGTCATGGAACATCTCACTACAGTTACTTTTCCCTCCGCAGGGAGACGTGTGGTCCGGACAAATCGGTGACCAAGGTGAACACACAGCTCTAACTAAAGAGGGCCGGGGTCGAACTCAGACCACCTCCCCCACCAATCACTGAAGAGGTTCTCCCGTCCCGTCCAAAAATCTCAAGGATCCACTCGGCGCCGGCACCTCTGGCCTCTCCCTTCACGGGCTCTTACTTTCCAGAAGCTCCTCCAGTTCCCGGTCCGCTTCGACCCCAACATCGCAACCTTCCTCAGCAGCCGCCATCTTGCTGCCTCCGACTTGCCGTAGGAGGTGGAATCTCTCTGGTGCCACTACATGCCCCGCCCCTAACTCCGCCTCCATGACTAGTGCAGCCAATAATATCGTTCTACGGTGCAGGACCGCCATTTTTAAAGGGACAGGAAACTGTGGGTTTGTTTTTGTTATTCTGTTTGTTTTCCTGGCGCTGGGGCTCAAACCTAGCTTCTTGCAAGAATCAAGCGAGCACTCCACCACCTGAGCTACACAGCCGCAACAGTTGGTCTTGTCCAGGCTGGTCTAGAAATCGGGGTCCTTCCATCTCCATTTCCTAAATGTTTGACCCACCAGGCCCAGCTTGATGGAGGGGTTGGGGGGGGGGTGTTCCTTTCCCTTTAATCTTTAATCTGGAGAAGTTTTGTTTTCAGGCGGGGTTTTCTAATCCTGTTCTCTCCACCTCCCAAGGGCAGAGGTTACACTACAAGGCTCAGCTAAATCTGAAGCTATTTAACTCTTCTGTTAATGCGCATTTTTTTAGACGGAGACAGGATTGCCAAATTGAGGCAATCTTGGTTTCATTGCCCCGAAGGAGAGACTTCTACCATTCACTGAACCCTGACCTCAACATATGCTTCTTGGAACATACACAAAACAGATGATAAACTAAAGATCACCAAATCTGTTTTTAGCCCGGAGCTAGCATCTACTGTCATATACAGTCTTATGCTAGGCACAGTGAAATCTACAAATAAATCAGAGTTGGTCCCGTCTGTAAAGGTTGAGTGGCGGTACAATCGTGTGTGTGTGTGTGTGTGTGTGTGTGTTTCTGTTTTGTTGAGATGGTTTCTCTGAGTAGTACTGAGTCTCCTGGAACTCACTCTGTAGATCAAGCAGTCCTCAAACTCAGAAATAACCCTGCTCTGCCTTCAGGTTGCTGGGACTAAATGGGTGTGCCACCATCCCTGGCTCCGCTCTCCATTCTTAGTACTGAATTTCTAGCTTCCTACTTCAATGGTTATTTACCCCGACTGCTCTTTCTGCCTTCCTAATATTTAGTGAATACTGACAAAACACCACCATGTGCTATCCTACTCACAGCATTTTTTCCATACCAGTCATATTTAAGGACTCAATGGCTCCCCACTGCTTATTGATTAACCAGATTCTTGACTGATATTCATAATTATTTTTACATATATCTATTTCCCCCAGTTAGATAAGCTTCAAGAAGCAGAGATTGTCAACTTTGTTCACAAAACTCACCTTAGAATGTTTGTGTACAATCTTGTAATTTAATTTGTAAACTTGTAACAAAGACTTTTGAGATAAGGTCTCGCTATGTAGCACTGGCTGGCCTAGAACTCATAGAGATCTGCCTGCCAAGATTCAAAAAATATTTTAAATTATTTATAATTGTGTGTGCTGTGCATGCATATATGCATTTGAAGATATGTGAACATGAATGCACATGCGCTCAGGGGTAAGAGTGGCAAATCACTCTTGAGCTAGAGTTATAGGCGGTTGTGAGCCAACAGATGTGGTGCGGAGAAGTGAACCTGAGGCCTCTGCAAGAACAGTATTTGCTCTTAACTGCTAAGCCATCTCTCTAACCCCCAAGATGTCCAGTTTTTGAGACAGTTTCACTCTTTAGCCAAGGCTAGCCTTGAACTTCAGGCAATTGTTCTGCCATAACCTTCCAAGAATTTGAATTCTGGGTGTGAACTGCCAGGCCTGATTCTTGCCTGTACTTGCAGGAAGAATGTATAAAATTTGCGAAAATATTGTCATAAAAGTCACATTTTTTTTTAGAAAGCAGTCTTAGTTTGAGGACTACACTTAAGAAGGCAACTCTTAAATCTGAAAATGTAAACAAAGCTGTGCCCTTTGAGGCAGGTGTTCCTCTTGTAGTTGAGCCTGAGGCACACTCAACCCGTTCAATGTATGCTCAAGTTAACTTACTGCAACAGTGCTGATAACTGCCAAAGGTTGCAAATAATTCAGGAACCGTGAGGCACTTTCATACCCTAAAATATACAATGAGAAAAAATATATATGTTTGGAAAAAATTTAAAATGTGTTAAGTGAAAAAAATTATGTTCCCATCATGTATAAAAGGGAGGTGGGGAAGAGCAGAGTTATATCTGCTCATAACTATATATCTTTTTGAATGCTAAAAGAAAACTGGTAACTAGTTACTTGTTTGGGGAAAGGTAATAGGAACTGAGTGGCTCAGGAAAAAGGTACACAAGACAAACTTGTCATAGTATAGTTGGTCTTCCCCCAACCCCTCGCTACCAGACAGGGATTCTTTGTGTGGCTCAGGCTATCCTGGAACTTGCTTTGTAAATCAGGCTGGACTTGAACTCAGAGATCTGCCTGCCTCTGCCACCACTGTCCTGCAGTATAGCTTATATATATATTTTTTTTTCACTATATAGATCATATATATTTATATCTATATATCTATATTTATGTCTATATATATATATAAAATGAAAAGGCTGTATTTTGTGTGTTTGTAGGTGGGATGATGCTGGTGTGGATGCATGATGCTTGTGTGGAGGTTATATGACAACTTGGGGGAACAGGTTCTCTCTCCTTCCACTATGTGAATTTCTGGGATAAAACTCAGGTTGTCAGTCTTGACCTCAGTGCCCTTACTACCTAGGGTATTTCACTGGCCTGACAGCATAGTTCTAAAGACTGGTGGTTTCACTACATGGATAGTTAATTGGAGGAAAAAATGAATTAAAATGAAACACTGAAGTAATCCCAGCACTCAAGAGGTCAAGACTGGAAGATTAAACTTAAGGGAGAAAGGGCCAGGTTATATCAATCCATCATTGCAGTGAAGTGAAGGCGGCAGGAACTTGAGTCAGCTAGTCACATTATATCCACAGTCAATAGCAGAGAGCACTGAACATGAGGATTCCTGCCAGTACTCAACTACAATTTTCATTTTTGTGAGACAGGGTCTCACTTGGCTGGAGCTTGATATGTGGAACCAGCTGGCCCTGAACTGACAAAAGTGGAGAAAAAGAACTACCTCTTCTTAATACCAGCACTCTGAGGCAGAGAATAGCTTCTCTAAATTCAGGACCTCAGGCCCAGCAAATGCTGCTGCCCACAGTGGGCAAGTCTTCCCATATCAATTAACAAAATTAAAATAATTCTTTACAGACATTTTCTGAGGTCCTTCTACCAGGTGATTCCAGATTATGTCAATTGATAGAATTATCACAATTGTTAGTAACTGGGTAAGTGATGCATTCTTTCAATTTAAAATACATAATTCAGGCCCATCCTGGTGGCTCCATCTGTTCTAGCACTTACAAGATGGAAACAGGATCAAGGGTTCAAGACCGTCAAGGCTTGGTGTCACATGCATTGCTCTTCTCAGAGATTCACTTTATTTAATTTGAGACACAAAACACAAGAACAATTGTTATAAAGGACAGAAACAAGTCAATGAAAAGTACTATACATTTTGCAAAACCAAATAACGTCTTCTCAAACTGGAAGTGTCTGGGCCCACAAAAGGAAGGAACCTTTTTATGACATTAAATTCCCAAGAAAAACACATGACAGGTAAGAATTGCATGTGGCTGAGGAAAAATGTTTATTACGTCCAGCTGCTTTCTAGTGGAATTGAAACAAGGTGGTAAGTAAAGGAGGAATATTGAAAGAATATGCTAAACAAATAACCAGCACAAAGTTTTCATTTGTTCCTTGGAAGACCCAAGCTGAAGGGCAAAGTCATTTATGATCACAAGCACAGTAACCTTCAGGAGAGACGTCTGCAGGAGCAAGGAAGTCAAGGTTGACACTTCTGCTTTGCCGAACAGGCAAAAGGACAGGGAGTTTTAGGGAGAACTAGTATCAACAGGCTGAAGTGTGGCTGTAAGGGGAGAGTGGGTTTGCAGCTAGAGACTCTGAAGGAACAATATGTGATGAACCATGCACTCGAGGACCTTAGCGAAACTGAAGAGGACTGATCCTCAGCCCAATCACATCTTTGCCAATCTCTGTCACCTGTGGAAGTGGAAAACAGGTTCAAGTTAGAGATTAGTAAGACTGAAAACCCAGAAAGCTTATTCCCAATACCCGCCAATGAGCAGTCAGAAGGATGCTTGGTGCTGAGACGAGAACAGCGAGTAGAAGCTCTGGCTTTCCCCAGTGTCGCTGTGTCGAGGAGCCGGGCAAACACAAGGGCAGAGAACACCTAGCATGCTTCCTTCTCCTGCCGCTGCCCCCTCAATATCCTACACATATTCTTTATTTTTTATTGGATCCCCACCTTGACCTTCCTTAGAGATGTTCTTTTTTTTTTTTCTTTTTCCCCTAGACACATTCTTGAGGACAGTACTTACTGTAGTGACCCTGCAGATTTGCCCCTTGAACTCAGGAGAATAGCAGGCCCCACTAAGCGGACACTTCTCCACCGGTTTTCCACGATAGATGGGCCGGTAAGATGCAGCACAAATGTCAAAGGGGTTGTGCATGTCATAATTGAGCTGGCAGGCATCTGTGGGGTTTTTCTCACAGGCAGACAGGATTTTTCTAGTCTAGAAGAGGAAGGAAATTTTATTTAAGAGAACAGAAAACAACACAATCTCTGATACAAGATGCAACTATTTGCTGCACATGATGGTCTATTTCTATAATCCCAGCACTCAGGAGCAGGAAGGTCTGAAGTTCCAGGCCAGCCTGATTTACACACTGAGACCCAGTCTCAAAAAACGGAACAGGACAACAAAAGTAACTACACTACATGAAAACAGACAGGTCTCATACTCTGTGTAGGATGTATGTGAAAAATGAACAATTGCCATTGCTGCTGGCTGTACTGGTGCATCCCAGAACTCAGAATGCAAAAGCAGGAGGTTTAGGAGTTTGAGGGTCAGTTTGGGATACACAGTGAAATCTTTCTCCAACATGGCTTCACTGTTCTAAAGCCACAATCCTGACCAAGTCTGGGAATCAGATTATTAAGGCTGGGCCCCCAGAAAAGTTAAAACAGGTTAATACTGCTCAAGAAGGCTTCTGGA